AGAGTGCCAAAATGCACAATCAGTATATTTATTACAAAAGTGTTCGAGACCATTTTCTGTGTATGAGACTGAGCGAAAATTACTAATCTTTTGCTTGAGCTCTCCAACATCCTTAAATTTTAACATGTTAATAATAGCTTCATATGCCTTCTGTTGGCGATTTTATTTTAATAATTCCGACTGATCGTTTATAAATAAAATCTAATTTGTGGTTCAAATAAAAAGGAAAGTCTACAAAACAAAATTTCAAAATTTTAGATTATGTTTTATTAGAAGTAATTGGCCATGAGTAGAAACTAGTTTTTCGAAATTTATATTAACAAAATAAAATAAATAAATGTTTGCCCTTTCACTTATTTTTTTTAATTGAAAACTGTATTTTATTGGGTAGTTGAATAACATGTAATTTAATTGCTTTTTGATTAAAGAAAATTCAGAAATAAATATGTTTCTAATAAATATTTTGAATCTAATACCCTAACTTAATTTTCTCCTATGTTTTTCTACAATATCAAAAACCTAAATTCATTCTGATCAGTAGTTATATCTACGTTATATTTAGGTATTAGGAAACAATGGTCGTAATATTCAGGTAGTGAAATATCCCATAATACTTCACAAGATGCATATGCATAAAAAATGTAATAGTTATTATAGATTATCGCTCTATTTCGGCAATGGGCACGAACGTCTCTGCGAATACTGTTCGGAGTTACTGCCGGAATAGATTTTTCAACTGGTTCAAAGTAGAAACGGACTCGCTGACTCATCTCCCCTACGCTTCTATTCGGACAAAGTGAGCGTTTACATTGTCAAAGTAGTCGTAGAGAAGGGGCTCGCTGCGGGTGGCTCGGACAAGTGTAAATTGGCCTTTAACTTCAGTTCCTAGATGGAACAGCAACTCTACAAGGTCTTTTCAGGCGTCCGCGGAACTGCTCAACGCTCGCAAATTTGAAAGAGTCGGAATTCTTGTATCTAGCTCACAGCAGCTCTTTTGCCTAACGGTAGGAGATTCCGTTTCCATGTCACGATCTCAAGTTCTGTCCCTTAAGCTAACGCGGCATCTCGTACCGTACTTAGGATTCGACCCTTAGATATTCCACGAGCAAGCCTCCGCTAAAAACACCAAAGCGTCGAACAGCTGCGAGCCATAAATCACCATGGTCTCGCCGCCGCCACACATTAAAAGACTTTTTTTTTTAATCTGCGTTTTAGGAGCTGTTACAGTTTACCCTCAATTACCCTGGTTGCTGGATGTAAAATTAATAGATTAAAATTGTTGTATGAGTTTATTTGAGTGGTGCAGTGTCTTTGAACCAAACTTTTAATAGACTGATGTTAATGAAAAAGAAATTTTAAATTAATTTTAATCGAGAATTTATAAAATTCAGACTGATAAAAATAATTGGATTAAAAGTATTGCTACAGATTTAGAACTTAAGGTTGTAATATGATTTCTTTTGTTTTAATCTGATTAATCACGTGCCTGTGTCATGTTTCAAGCGCAGTTGTTACTATGCATGAAATAATTCAATTCAACTGAATTTTTCTCTTCATTACAAATAAATTACCTCTCTTCATAAAATTGAAGTACTGCCAAAGCATAACATCATTAAAATTTTATGTGATATTCTTATCTGCTAATTTTATATTAATATTACGAAAGTTACTATTTGCTGAAACTGAAAATAATAATAATAATAATAATAATAATAACAATAATAATAATAATTCATTTAAATTCACATTCTGAAAATTCATTTAAATCCCTCTCAAATTTACTTAAATGAATATTGTGTGTATTGATAGTGTGTGTGTATTTAATTATGGCAAAGCTCACTAGGGCTATCTGCCTAAGGGGAGGGATGCCTTCGTGGAGGACTTTCTAAGGGAAACTGGCTCGTATACACGTTACACATGGGGAAAAACCACGAAAACACCCATGCAGCCAACCCGTTCGCGGGATTCGAACCTCGGACCGAACTACCAGTGTTCAGCGACTTTACCGCTCGGCCGCTGGTGGGCTTAAATGAATATTGAAGTTGAATTTTGGAAGTTGTGTCAATTATAACTTCTTTTGTAAATGATGTCAAATTCTGGATATAAATTTATTAGCCTTAATTCTAATAAGCTAAGAATGTTGCAGAATAGCTTTAAAGATTTTTTCTGATTTATTTACAAACACTGAGTCCTAATATGACTTCATGGATTTATTTATGAACTTTTTTATTAAATATTTTTACAGTTTATTTATTAATCTTTTGCATTACTATGGTTCTGCGGCAAGTTGGGGCTACCTTTTCGAGATCAAAGCGATAAAAAATAAAGAGCGATGACAAGACATTTTCGGCACAAAAAATCAAAACTCTTACAAACATTAAGAAACAATCAAAATTTTACTTCATAAAGCAGCTTGTTCAAATGAGATCATATTAATTGACTGACTGTAATTTAAAGTCGCATTATAATTATATATATTAAGAGATGGTACAGTTTTCAGGTTGTAAAACGCGTAAAACAGTATTTAATTTATTTCAGCTACAGTGGAACCTCCTGTAAGGAACCCTTCCAAACAAATAAACACCTCTATCTAAGTGACAGTTATCTTTCTCTGGTCCCTTTGAATAGGAACTCGAACGTGTTTCCCTGTTATTAAGGGACACTGAAAATAGGTTTAAAAAATAAGATAGAATTACAGAAATAAATAAAAATAGAAATTCTCTTTAGTAATCTTTTGAGGTTTAAAGCAAATTTCTGCTCAGAGAAAGATATTTTCCTGTCAAGGGAAAAATAAAATGAAAAGGTTCTCCCTCTCTTTTGAAAACTGCTTTTCAGTTAGAAAAAGGGGACCATTGTGAAAAAGCGAAATGTGGTGCTATCAAAAGGTTATCACATCCATAGAATTCAAAATCCAGTTATTCTTGCTACAGTTCTCAGGGGGGGGAGAAAGCAAGTATCTTGGGTTGTCTTACCGCTAGTTGTAATCCAATACAAGAGAGGACTAATGGGAAAGAAAATGTCATGAGATGACTGGATTATCTGCCTAGACAAAGGGATCTCGCAATGTGAATAGAGTGATCTTAGTTCTTGCTAGAGCTGGGGAGGAAAAGAATAGTTTTGCATCTGTGTATTATTTGTTACATAAGTTACTTAGCATGGCTTCAAATAGGAAAAGATTAAAATTAAAACAAAAAGTTCATATAATTCAGAAACTCAAAAGCTTAGTTTGAGGGATTTAGGGCAGAAATTTGAAGTAAGTGCAAACCAAGTAAGTCACGCACTAAATGGTAGAGATGAAATAAAACTACTATGGGTTACTTTGGACATTTCAATGCTGTAAAACGTATAGAAACTGAAGCATGTGAAATTGATACATCAGTGTTTTGACTGGATTTGTTTTGTAAGAGCAAACAATATTCCTATAAGTGGAGTATTATTCCAAGAAAAGGCAAAATAAGTTGCAGAAAGTCTGGGACTACATAACTTCAGAGCATCAAATGGTTGGCTAGAAAAATTTAAGCAAAGACCTAACATTACTTTTAAAGACTATTTGTGGTGAAGAAAAGTCAGTAGATGTGCAGCATGTAACAGATTAGATAAAAAAAGCTAAATGAAATTTGTGAAGGATATGAGGCTAAGAAAATCTACTATGCAGATGAAACTGGATCATTTTACCATCGGTATCAGAATAAAAAATTATGGATGACGCAAAGCATAATGTTAGAATGGTTCACTGTTCTTAATAAATCAATGTGCCCAAAAAAAAAAAAAAAAAAAAAAAAAAAGGAAGATTCTGCTATTTCTTGACAATTCGCCAGCTTACCCTTCAAATGTAAAACTGAAATCTGTGAAATTACTGTTTTTTTCCACTTAATGCTACATCAGTATTGTAGCCGTTGGACCAAGTTGTAATTAGAAGCTTCAAGGTTCATTACCGAAAACTGTTTTTATGGCATGTTCTTTGTCAAGTTGCTTGCAGAATCAGCGATCAGCTTGTAAAACGTGTTAATGTATTGAACGCCATTAAGTGCATAATAAAGTCTGCTAAATCCGAATCACAAAGTTGTGTTCAGTACTGTTTGAAGAAAGCTGACGAAATTCCAATTTCGAGTGCCTTCAGCGAAAATACTACTGATGAAAATGAATTGTTTGAACTTGTCAAAATCAATGGCAGTGTTCAAATACAAGAGTATTTAGAAATGGATGAACACTTGTATACTGAAGACACCAATGACGACATAAAATCTTTTATTTCAACTGCAGTTGATGATGTGAGTCTTAATAAAAATAGCTTAGAAAGCAATGAGGAAGACGAAGAAAGCCAGATGAAAAGCGTGACATAAAAAAACTATACAGATGAAAAGCTAGATGAAGAGTGTGACATAAAAAATCTATACTTAAAATACATCTCGCAATTAAAACAATTCATGATTACTTTTGGTGACAGTATAGGACTTAAGATCATCAGTGACTTTAATATCCACATGAAAAAAAGTGCTTGTGATTCAAAGACTTTCAAACATATCCATGTAACGTATTATTTCAATAAATTTATGTAAGTACAAAACTCTATTGTGCATTTCATACATTTTTGAAATAATTAAACTTTTTTAATTAAGAATTTTCATTTTCAGTTATTTCAAATTTAAATAAATACCTCTGTTACTTAATTATATATAATTTATTTAAAGCTTGATAGAAGCTGAATTTCTAATTAAATTACATAATTTTAGTATGTGCCCTCTGAAGAAGAGACAAAGTATCTGATCCGGCAGGAGGTACTACTGTATATTTAAGCAACTAAAATCATTAAATTTTACAACTGAAATGCAAATTTAAATGCACTGCATGTACGAGTAGTAACATAAGAAAAATATTATCAGTAGAATTTCTTGCATAGAAGCTTTTTAATAACTGCATCATATCTCACTGATATCACTAGCGTTAATTTTAGAATATTAAAAACATTTTAAAAATAGAAGGCTAAAAAATTATTTTACCTTCTTTAAGAGAGTGTGTGGTATATGAATGCTTCGAAAGTGATCAAGGAACCCTTGTCCAAATTTTTGCACTCCAGCATATCTCCAATCAGCAGCCAACTCTGTTCCACTAACAACTTGCCTTTGGTCACCGTAAGTGATCAACGTGAAGTCCACGTCCGTGATACCGGTGCCTAAAATTAATTTTTAGGATATTAAACGAAATTTTTAGCACTTAGATATCAAAAATAATTTTCAAACGTGTGGCGATAATTTTATTAAGTTACTGGAACTAATAAGTTACGGGAAACACGAAAGACTACTTTCGCAAGGCGATTTTTAGCTGAAAAATAAGTTTTTCAAAAATACTAGCTCTACTCAGTTGGAATTTTTCTCCTTTCTTACCGCATGCCTTCGCGCTGTAATTGTCAAGCACGCCCGGGTAGAAATTGGAAGGTACAGCGTTCGAGTTCGGGTGACGGCATCTATGATTTTTGTATGTTTCCATGTCCGAAGTAAACATAACGACTCTACAAGGGGCGTCCGAACTAAAAATGCAGTGGATGATAATTCGTCTCCACTAGGATATGACGACTGGTTCCCTACCTCCCCAGTTGTCCTTTAAGTGGGGAAGAATATAAAGGATTTTTCTGCTTTTTTACCTCGTCCCTTCGCGGAAGCACGTCTGACTAGCAATCGGAAAAAGCGGAGTTCAATTTCCGGCAAAGGCATTGCATATTTTTCATGTTTTCTGCTACTACATATCTAATGAGTCTACAAGTGGTGCACAACTAAAATGTGGTGGACTATATTTTGTCACCAGCTGGATTTGGCTCCTGGGTCGCTTCTTTCTAAATGAAAGAAAATAGATGGATTTTTTTCTGCTTTTTTACGACGTGCCTTCGTGTTGTAATTGGACAGCATGTCCGGCTAACTATGGAAAAGTCAGGAGTTCGAGACCCACTGCTGATTTTTCTTGCTTCCTGTTCCCAAATAAACCTGATGACTCTACTGGTTATTTACAGACAGGGAACATATCAACAGGGTTAAAAGTGCGAAAGGTACGACCGGTTTATACCTATTTCTGGCATATTTGAACTCTTGTCATACATGCTGCCATCATCTCCTTACGTATGCTTTCAGGGAAGCCTCCGTTTGCTCTCACAACTCTGGCAGATCTTGAGGTAGGATCGCAGATATTTTCTTGATATAAAGTCACAGAAAAGAAAAATAAATTAGAGTGCATAACATGAAATCATTTTTGTTACTTGCTGCAATGTGCATGTCAAGAACCTTCTTCCTATGTGGATATATGTATCTTGAAAGGTAGTTCACATTTAAAACATTTGTAAATTCTTCTGTTAACGAATGACTTCTCTACTATAACAAATGGTTCACAAATAGTTTATAATAAAGTGGTTTCATCTTTTCTTATATATATATATATATATATACGGGTCCAAGCAGGAAGCTGTAAGCTTTATTTTCATTAAAAATTTGTTCTTAAACATATATTTCGCAATTACGAAATTTTTCAAAATAAGCTACAGAATGTTTGAAAACAGTTTCAGCACTCTGATAATAATCACTTTGAAAATACAAAATCTATACTTTTATATGGTCTTTGTATAGAAAAATGCCTGCTTAGTAAAGTCGTAAGGTTAAAAAAAAAAACCCAATTATTATAATTTCGGTCTTTACTGTAACTTCTTCCTTTCCGTATTCCTCACCAGAATGCAAATCGGTTGTGAGGTTTTTGGATTTGAAAGAGGGAGTGTTTCTGGCACTTTTGCACTACGTGGTTAGTTTCTGCCTGCAATAAGTGTTGTAATTATTCGGCTTTGCGGTCTCTCACTGCCAACTCTTTAAATCAGAAGCGCCGGCAAACCTATTGAGCCAGCTTCTAGTTAAGTATTTAATTGTGTACTCTTTGGGTAGTATTCAATGTTTAATTTAAATTTACTGTTCTCTTTATTTGAATTCTTTTGAGTTATAGTTATTGCAGCTCAAGAGTTTGCTTTTATGTTACAAGTTCTGTTTAAATAAAAAGGCCGTTTACAACTTTGTTAAGATTTGGTTGTTTATCTCAGACATAGCGATAATTCGCTTCACGTCTGTTTGGGTTATAAAGTAGTAAGACTAAAGTAGTAAAAAGTAAAGTAGCGTTACCAACTCAAGTGCAATTCTATAAAATGTTCATTAAGCTTTAAAAAGTTAAATACAACAAGTTCTATACCTTTGCATTCAAAATTAATGGAACTACACACACTGGCCAATAAATTAGAAACCCAAGATCAATATTTTATTGGACCAACGTTTGCACGGATACCTGCTCTGATTCGTTTGGGCATCGTGTCTACATGCTTCTGGAGTACATTGATATCCAGAGGATATTATGCATTGGCTATGCAGCTTTTTAGATCTTGTAAATTAGATGGAAGAGGAGAGTGCTGTCGGATGCGTCTTTCCACCATATTCCACACATTTTCTATGCGGTTTAGATCCAGGCTATGCGGTGGCCAAGGAAGGTTATTGGAAGTCAGATTCATGTTCAATGAATCAATTTTGAACACTTTTGGCACGATGTGTAGTTGCAATATCGTCCATGAAGTATCCATCGCCATCAGTGTAAAAATACAACATCTACCAGTATATCTAGGTATCTCATGGTTGTTTGTTTACCCTCGAGGATGATCAGGGCCCCATTTCCATGCCATCTGAACATCCCCATATCATGATACAACCACCAGACCCTTGCACAGTGCGAGTAAGGCAAGATGGATTCATGGTCTCATGGGATTCTCCCCAAATTTGATGTCTTCCATCAGAACAAAATAAGGTGTAGCGTGATTCATCCGACCACATCACCCTTTCCAATCCTCAGATGTCAAGTGTCTTCTTTCCCGACACCATTTCAAAAGAATTCTTGCAAATGTCAGGCAGAAATGAGTGGTTTTTTTCCACAGGCACCCGGCTATGCATTCCTATCATCTGCAATTCTCTTCACATGGTTCTAGCTGAAATCTGTTGGGAAGAGCCTTGGTTGACGATTTGTGTCAGGTGAAGGACAGTCGAGTCCCTATTCTACCGTACAATTCGTTAGAGACGACGCCGACCACTCTCTTTTAAAACTCTTCTAGAACCGCAGTTACGTCTTCTAGAGAAGGACTCTGGGTTCTGATTGCAGCTTTTGAAAAACTTTGATATGGCTGCTTTGAGATCCCAGTGAGATCTGCTGTCTTCGAAATCGAGGCTCCTGCTGAAGGGGCACTAACAATGAGCCCTTTTTCAAATCGTGAAAGATGTGTCGTTTTTCTCATTTTATTTCAGTCATCGTGAAAAGCATTCTTACACCTTACTTATACTAGCATTCTAACCACGCGTAACCAACGTTATAAAAATTTGCATACATACTTCATCCCTAGCAGGCATTCAAATGAAAATCTGAAAGGTTTCTAATTCATTGGCCAATGTATATATTAGAGAACTGGTTTATTAAGTTGCATTAATTTTCAGTGCCTGTTACTAAGATATTCTGACTAAATTTTGACAATTAATAGTTTCGCGTTGGATACATACAGCATTCTTTAGTAATTTTTTACCTGACTTCATGAACCTATTAATTACTACCATCTCTGCGCAGTGACTGGTATTGCTTCTAGATACACAAACTAGGTCATTGATGCTCAGTGCCAACTGCGATTCACGAATCATCACTGAAGAACATTCCGACCAAGCGTGAAAGGCGCAGGTACCACAGACGCATGTGGTACTCAAAAGTTTTATGTATGCATCAGCGTACAGCCATACTTGGCTTCGGTGGAGCAGTGGAAAGTGCTTTGCTTATTTAATTATTTTTCTTATATTCATAGAATTCTCAAACAAAGTCTGCATTTGAATACCGTAAATAAGTTATATTGTATTGCATGGATGATACGTGTCTATGGAAAATAGAACGGGTAAGATAAAATATTTAACCAAGAGCTTCTAAAATAATCATATTTATCATAAATTGCATAGTTACCTGTTTTCAGAGCTATAGGGGTTCTTTCGATGCCAAGAAGATAGTTAATAATAGTTGTCTTCCCCGAACTCCATGGGCCAAGGAAAAGTAGCATAGGTTTATTGAATATCTCAGCATCTTTAGAAAGTAAAAGAAAAATATTTAAGCACTTTGAAATTTTATGTGAATTTAGTTTTTGATCAAATGAAGCTGTTTCTCTAAAGACAATGGCACAAGTTTTCTTTACCAAAATCAGACCATTCAGAAATAGTCAAGAAAGTAATTTTTTGGGAATATCTGAATTTTAACATATTTGATCAAATTCTTTCAGATACTTTCCGCAATCTTATCAATCAGCATGGAAATTTTTATCTACTTGAAAAATACTTTTCTTTGCAGTAGTATAAATTGCTGCGCTTATTTATTTTTGGTTGCAGAAAATTTACTGGAATTAATTCGAAAGAAAGTCTTACTGTATTCTGTAGCATCAAACATTTTTTTCCAGAGATTTGATAGCCGTCTTCGTACCTAATTTCTTACTCCGTGTTATGAGTTTCCAAGGTCAATTTCCAAAAAACACAGAAAGGGAAAAGATTTCATAGTTTATTGAAAAGAAATAAAAAGGTAATAAATGGAAAATTTTTGGGATATTTTACGTTTTAGGACAACAGCTTTCTGTATAAATATACATATGTATTCCAGTTTGATATTTCAGTAGGAAAACAGTTAATTTCGACTGCGGTAAAAGGTTTCCTAACATAGAAATTCATCTCTTAGATTAGTTATTTAATAAAGAGAGAGTGAAATAAAATCACACAATTTAAGAACTTTTCATTGACAATACTTTAAAAAATTGGATTGTTATGAGAAATTAGAAATAAAAACAAACAAACAGAAAAATACATTTAATTTAACGGTGGACAAGTAAGCAGCGCTGGGTATTATATCTTTTTGCACAAATTTATTCGGCGTAAATTATCCTAGAATGGGAAAGATACGGGTCAAGGAGCTTGAGTGTGCTTGTGAATTATTCAGTTGTAAGTTGATTCTTATGTTTATGAGACTGTTGTATTTGTAAATCAATCTGCTCTTTTCATTTTATATATTCCTTTAAAATTCTGTACATTGCTTTACAATTCTGTATATTTCTTCTTAAAGAACTCCTGAATTTTATTTTAAATATATTCAGCTTAAGTCTCGCCTCCAGATTTTATATTTTACATTGGAGTGCTTCTTTTCGGTATAGCTTCCTTTTTTTAAATTTTATTTTATCACATTCGAGAACATATCAATTTTAGTTTTCGATCGATTTATAATGGCCTCTAGCTCCATTAAAAAAAGAGGAAACTGAACGTTAAATGAAAGAACGGCTTAAACAAGTCGGAGGTCAACGTACTCATCAAGAAGACTGTGGGTTCGATCCCCTGTCAAGCCAAACTTTTCCTCTCATTTGAGATACTGAACCAATTTTGAAGTCGCCGAGACTACATAGTGATTAGGGGAGCCTACTACGGCTCGAGTTCGAATCCTGGAGAAGACATGGATGTTTGTAAATGTATAGTGTCGGTGCGGCATGGCGACACTCTGAATATGCGGGGAGCCGAAAGTCCTCTCGTGTGGATTATTGGAAGGGGAGAGGGGAGGGAGATCCCCCTTGGGAACTCTCCCTAAAACTGGGGTGGAAAATAGAAGTCCAACCTCTCTTTGGAGTAGGCTCTGGCAACCATTGTTCCATGTAATATGGACAAGAGAACAACAACCAATTTTGAAAGCTTTATGGAAGGATAGGTATAAAGCGATTTTAAAGCTAGAAGCAGATTTGGAAAATTAATTGGGAATGTATAAATGAGAAGTTATGTCATAAACTTATTCCTTATTTTGAGAATTTTCTTTAATTCATCACAGCTTTTTAAAAATTCAATTAAGAAAAAGAGTGTTCTTCAGAGGTTTTTTTTTCTTCTCTTTGGATGCCAATATAATTGGAATTTCAACGTGAAAAAAACCGCTCAGATAAAAAATATATAGAGCAAATGTAAGGTGTTTTCTTATTCCTTCGAGCATGCTCATCAGGCTAACACGTCCACCTAGCAGCCCCGGTGAAGGTGCAACTGATGTTCCATGTTTTAGATTTGAAATGTCTAATGAATGTCTTCGAATGTCTAATTCAACGGTGACGTTCCAACTGAAATGTGATGGCCGATAACATGTAACCAACTAGATTTGATCGAATCGGTCTCGTACTCTTTTCAGTCGTGTTTAAAGTGAAAGATTATTGCCCATTACCCAGTGCGTGCTCTCGTGATACAAGTGGCTGCCAAATCCAGATAGCGACGGGAAGATCCGTGTTTGAATCCCGGTGAAGGCACAGTTGATTTTTCATGTTTTCTGCTTCATAACTTCTAATGGTCTCTTTATGTCTCTCTGTAAATATGTAATGTATTTAAATAGCTTATATCTTAATTTTATTTGTCTTATTTGATACTAAGAAAACATTCCTAACTCAGTTTTGCTTGGTCAGTAAAGCACACAATAAGCTTAAGTAATTGCACGAGGAACTTTATTATGAATATTTCCCAAATAAGGGCATTTAATAATAATGCTTTTTTCATATTACAAAACTTCATTAATAATTATGATTTCTAGAAATTTGTAATTTCAGAAAAATTCCTATACTGTGTCATATTTTCCCTTGACCTCTGTAAGTTTTCAACGTTTTTTTTCTTTTTATTTACATCTATAATTAGCACTGCAAAATAACAGAACAACGGCTTTAAAAATCCCAAAGTTTATATTGTAGGAGTAAGGGAAAAAAAATGTTTTTAATCGAATGGCAGGCAATTGCCTTTTTTCAGCATTGGCCACTCCTAAGGCCAGAAGTGGCCAATTTATTGTGGTGACACAATGTGGTGATTGATTGCGTGGCAGCAACCATTGCCTCCTGTGAAGTGAATAGACAATTTTACATCCATGCCTTCTCCAAGATTCCGGGTCCTTCGGTATCGCAGTCGGCTTCCCTGACCACCCTACCATCTGGGCGGCGGTGTAAGAAACATGAAGATATACAGCTGGGGGTGCTTTCGCCAGGATTGGAACCGTGAATCCGATTACATGTCTTGTGATAATATTACTTGACAGCTAGCCGTGCTAAATATTTACATCACGAGAGTTTCACAGGCAATAATAACTTATTTTATTAGGTTATAAAGTACGCATCAGAATTGACTGTAAATTACAATCTGAATTGCTGAATTTTTAGCACATTTAATTTCCGTAATGCTACTCAATTGTCATGTTTTCTTAATCTTTTCTTTTCTGAGGATGGTAGATAAAAACAAGTTTAGAGTTTTATGAATTTCATAAACTGCCAAAATCTGAATACCACTGTTTTACAGAAAACTATGTTCAGCTTCAATGCTCATGCAAATCCACTTAATATCAAATGAAGTTGCTAGCTTCAATAACATTGTTATTGATGAATTTTTAAAACATCTTGATGATTTCATGAAACCTGTAACTATCGAACACAAAAGATTTCAAATAAGAGAAATTGGACTTATTATAAAGATATTAAGTGAATGCGAGATATATTTCCTCTAAATGTTTTAATAGCTGCACAATCTGAAGTTTTGTAACTGTGGGAAACGAAATTATCATTCGCAGAAGAAATTTATAGTTGCACTGACGAACCCAGTAATCCATAATTTAAATTTGCTTGGATGCTCTGCATAGAAATATCTGCAATTGCAGTATCTTCGGGAAGTAAAAGCACGTGTGCGATTTTAGAGAAAACGATGCCCAAGCGTGCAGCTTAGAGGGTTGTTGAGTTCAACTAAAACATGCTAAGTAGAAAAGTATGCATTATCATGAAATATTTTAAATTCAGAATTGTTCTCTCCTTGGAAGCATCAAATAAAAAGCTTACATTTGAATCGATACCCGAATTTCAACTTACGAAATGATGGAAATTTAATTTGTGGACTTGTCAGCTTAGGAACTAACTATCGACCTTCCCTAGGTTGATATGTAGAGAGCATTTTGTCTTTTTTTTTCAAAATTATATTAAGTAAAGAATATCTTTTAATTTTTAACAGCACAATATGTTATTCTCAATGTAAATTAAAAGTACATTACAGCAGTTTTACTTTGAATGGGAAAAGGTTTTTTGGCTTGAAGGAAGAAGATCTTTTTGATTTTATCAACTTCTTGTTTGATCAATAGTCTTAGGAGAAATGTGCCGTGACACTGCAAATCATTCTACAAAATTCGTAAAGGTAAATTAATTGAAAATCAGCGCTATTGATTACATTTTACTAAGGCATCCAAATATGACCTGGACGAATGGAAGGACTGAAGAAATTGGACAGATACATATTTGAAAAGCATATCATTGTTTGAAATAATCTGACTGTGTTTCATAAAATTATGTTTTAGAACGCTTGCAAGATTCTTTTATGTTAATTAACCAGTTGTTCTATGTTTTGTATCTTTACTGCCACTCCTCACTTCCGTTTTCATGCCAGAATGCAAATTAGTTCACGTTTATTTAAGGTGAGGTTTTTAGATTATAAGACAGAGTGTTTTTTGCCTCACGTTAGTACGTTGCTAGATCGCTGGTCTTTTTTTAGAGTGGGTAGAAAGAGTTTCCTTTAAACGTTTGCCCGCTAAAACTGTGTCAGATTCGTTTCTAAATAAGCTTATTTTAAAATAGGAAGTTCCCTTAAAAGTAATTTAAGACAATGGCAAACAGTTTGAAGGGTTCTATTTTAATTTCTTAATAGTTATTTTTAAATTTTGAAATCCTTTCCTTTATTCTCTTGCTTCCCACTTACAACGCCCTGTCATAATGAGTCTTCAGAGTCACGTTTTATGTAAATGAGGTGAAACCAGTTTTTAATGGAAAGTTTCGATCACATTCGTAGACGATTTTCCTATGTGACAAGCCTGATTTTAATGTATTAAGACTCCTGATGGACTTGTAGCGACTTAGCTCTTAGGACTTTACTTGTGATTTCAGTGACTTTATCTATGTTTGCATTTTACAACCATTGTATCCAATTAGGAGCCTCTCATGCAATATCAGACTTTCATCTACCTGGATACTTGTTTTCTTACTTAGACTTGATTGTAGGTTCTTTTTA